CCGCGCGGCGGGAGGCGGCGGCGGGAGGGGTTACGCGCGCGCGGGTCGGCAGGGGGCGTGCGGCACATGAGGCGCGAGCGGGGAGCGCGATATTTAGCCCCGGAGCGGAACGGAGCGGGGCAGAGCAGAGCAGAGCGGAGGTAGTGCGAGTGAGCCAGTGCTGGCACCAGAGTGGGGCTGTGCCGTGCCGTGTTGTCCGCAGGTAAGCCGCCCCCTGCCCTGCCCTGCCCGGGGGCCGCTTCTCGCCCGCCTGCTCGGAGGATGCACCGTGCCCGCGCCGCTGGGAGCAGGGGGCTGCGGGGGAAAACGAGGGAACCGGAGCGCGGTGTTGAGCTCCGCTCCCGGCCGGGAGGAAGGGAGTTTCCAAGCCAGCAGGGCCCGGGCTCGGGGCTGAGATGCTGCCAAGTGTGTGCCCCAGCGCAAGGCTACCTGCCTGCCTGTCTGCGAGTGCCAGGCATGAGCTCTGCCCTGCGCTCGGGATGTGCCCGCTGGACCCTACCGGTCTGCCCTCCCCCCGCTCTTGCAAAAACCTCGGGCCCTTGTGTGCTGGAGGGGGCGCCGAGCCCCCCATAAGAGATGAGAGATGATTGATGTGTTGTGAGTTTAGCAACAACACTCCGGACACTCCTGTCTTGAACTAATGACAGCCCCCCCCTCCTCGATTTGGAAAGCATAACCTCGAGGATCTCTACCAAGGCATTGTGATGGGTGGTCCAATTTTTTTTTCTTTGCAGAGACCCCCCCTTCCTTCCAAAAAAAAGCAGTGTCATTTGAACCTTGCTTGCATGTAGCCCTCTCCCTGGCAGGGGAGATGCCCTGATCACCATGGCAGATGTCGGATCAGTCCAGGTGGTTTCCCAGTCCCTGGAAAGAGAGATCCTCTTCCCCCTGACATGTGATGGCTTTGCCTAGTTGAGGGATGGCACCACAGACAGGCCCTGCTATGAGAGTCTACTCAAGTCTCCCAATGGGAGGATCTTAGCTACCCACTTTATGTTATGAAGATGGGGCATTTCTCCCTTTCTTGCCCCTTGAGCCTTCTGGCTAAGGGCAAGTGAGACTCAGGCATGTGAGCCCCACGACCTCCGGACTTGGGGCTTGCACACAGGATACCTGCCACGGATTTGGGAGGATCTGAAGCTCTACCCTGAAGAGTCTGGGGGGTAAGATACTTGCTAGTGGTAACACCATACAGACCTGAGCCACTGAGCTCTGCTCGGTTGATGGGATTTGGAACCGATCTGGCAAATCTGGCCCGAGACGCGATATTAAAAAAAACACACAAAAAAATAGTCCAAGTAACTAGATGCTGATCACTACGTGTGCTCTGTTGTCTTGCACTAGTCTTTGTCTGTTTGCCTGTGCTTTTAGATTATTAGCTGTGTAGGGCAAGGATCCCACGCCTTCCTTAGCACCAAATCTGGTGTTAGGTGTTGTGCAATCAGAAACTATAGTAAAATGGCTTTAAAATAGCACTTCTCTATGTACAGTCATGTTAAAGAGAGTCTGAATGTTTTTATAACTGCACCAGAGCAGGCTAGCCAGTTGCCTGGCTGGTGGATTAGTCAGAGGTCCTGCCTTGAGCAGAGGGCTGGACTTGATGACTTTGTGAAGTCCCTTCCAGCCCTACTTAGGATTCTAACACCTTTGACTGTAGTAGCAGCAGCACCACACAACAGATTGGTGCCAAAATGCATGGGTAAAAGTAGGGGAATGCCTGGAAGGGAAGGCTCACGTATGCTTGTATGGTAAACATGTGATTGCCAAGGGTTGTTCAGTGCCAAACCCAGGCAGCTTCAATTGCTGGATGCATGGGTTTTGCAGTTCTGCTGCACTCAGCTAACCTGGAATCCAGATGATCACTGTGAGCTAACAATGATGCCTATGTGCTCAATTTAGATGGTGAGACTAGAGATAAGGCAGCTGGCCAGATCTGGTGGAGTGCAGGTGCCAAAGGAGTTGTTTGCAGTCTTCTTGTACCAGGAAGTGAAAGGTTGCAATTGTTTTGATGGAATAAGAAACATGAAACTTCCTCTAATAATCTCCTGGCTTAGGCAGGTCTGGCAAGATCTGATTTTTAATCGGACCTCTTGTGTTGTCACTATACTGAAGTGTCTCAAGCTCTACATCTTCAGGTTGCAACAGGCATAAATAAATGGTAAGAAGCATGGGATGTAGGTGCCACATCTGGGCTCTTTTTGCGTTGTTGTGTGAGAGTCCTGGGTTTTCCAGCACAGTAAGTAAGGCTACATTTAATCTATATTTGGATGATATAGCTTGCAAGTTGTTTATAAGAACTGGCACAATCTAAGTAAATCCTGTTTCCATCTTTTCCCCTTTTTCTTTTGCTTATTAGGGATTTCTGTGTCTATGTGCATGTCTCGGTCACATGCTTGTGGTTAAACGTACAGTTACTGGAAAATTAACTTACAGACCAAAGCAGACAATTATCAGGAAGTTTTATGTATAGGGTACTTGAGTAACACTGTTTTGGAGAACAGAAGCCAAGTATTTTTCAGCATTAATTGTTGCATTATTTTAACGTGGGTGGGTTTTGGTTGAGTTAAGACAGGCCTGAAACATTGTTAAACTTCAGCATTTCCCTCACTAATATAAAAAGGACCCCCGTCCTGGCTTCCTCATTCTACCACTTTAGTCCTTCTATTGACGAAAGTGGAAGTCTTACCTTAACGAGGTGGGCAGAACCAACCCCCATAGCTGGAAATTCTGAGTTTACATCAAACAAATGCTAAAAAAAAAAATCCTGTTTTGTTTCTTTCAAGATTCATGATGTTGACAGTTACATTCTTGGCTGCTTTTGTTCTTACTACAGTAAGTTCACAGGAAACTGAGGAAACCATAACATACACGGTAAGGTTTAACAGAGTTTGAGATAATTATTACTTAGCAGAGATTCTTTCCTAAATGACCCTGCAGAGAAACTGTGGTCTCTACCAATATACAGTGCTCAGTTAAAAGTCCTGTGACGTTATATGTTAATCTTAGGCTAAACTGCTTCTATAGTGAAACTGTGTCTTAGGTTTTTAAACTTTGCAGGATTCAGCAGTTAGTTTTTCATTTATTTTGAAAGGGTTTTTTTGTTTTGGGTTTGGTTTTTTGTTTGTTTAAGGTACTGAACTGAGTTTATAAACCTAGGCTTTATATCTAACTTTCACAAGGTTCTGAACACTTTGAAAGAAGTTTTGTTCTGACTTATGGGTGGGGAAAAATAGAGAGGCTAAAAACATAAGTGTAAAACAAAGTAGTATCATCTGTAATAGACAATTTATTTTGACGCATGCATTTCCTAATTCTAGGAAATAAGACCCTCAAAGCCTGAATAAAATTTATATACGCACGCGCGCACACACCCACTTAGTAATTTTGTCTTAAGTAAATATGTGAAACACCATGTAGTTTAGGAATTGGGTCAATTGTTTTGCTCCATTTCTCTTGGGAGGTTTCAACATGTTTTGACACCATGTATGTACTCTGAAATGTTAGCCTTAAAATGTAATGAACTGTGTGAGCTTTTTCTAGTAGGTCTGTGTTTAAAAAAAAAAAAAAGCAGCATTAGTAATATTGTTAAGCAGTCATTTGTGAGCTCACAACCAAATTCAAACAGATACTAGAAATACATTTTATTTGTTTCCCAAAACTTGATGTGATTTTTTTTTTTTTTTTTTTTTTAGAATAGAGGTAGGGCAGGGTGGTAGGTTGCTTTTCCATCTATGGTTGCTCACTAGCCTGTATAATAAAAGGCCTGGGGAAAGCTGGCATTGATATTAACGTGGATCAAAGAGGGAAAATCCCATATTATCATATTTGATCCCTATGAGAAGCAAAGGTCCCTGCCCTGAAACTTGTTCCATATGGATGGACTCTTGTGCCTGTACAGAGCCCCACTGAAATCAGTAGAAATCCAAATAAGCACAGAGCATGCAGCAAGTTGTAGGATCATGGCCAAAAAGCCTGAAGTCATACAGTTACAGCTTGCACAAGTAGTCTCATTTGAACTCAATCGGATGGTTTGCCCGAGTAAGTATTCCAGGATCAATCCATGTATTATCGAGGGTTTTAAGGTGTATAAGAGTTAGAGTTCAAAAGATGATTAGGCATCTGTGTCCCGTGGATTTCAATAGTTTAAATGCATACAGTGAAATCCATGGGAGTTAAACCTGGGCCCAAATACCTAGTATGCAGATATCTTGCGCGCACGCACACACACGCA